GTGTTGTGCTTTTAACATCAGTACTAAACTCTAATAACTATAATTTTCTTCAATAGGATTTATCAAAAAGGAAAGTCTTCAAAATGATTTTTTTCTGAAATGTGAATTTGTTTTCTAAAATGCAAATTTGTTTTCTGAAATGTAATTTTGTTTTTGAAATGTAAATTTGTTTCAGAACATGTAAAAGTGTTTCAGATTTTGTAATTTTGTTTTGCACCTCCAGGCCACCGTAAAACCCTAATTTCTAATGTCAAATTCTGACAGGTAACTACAGTCTCTAAAACAAAACGTATCTTTTTATTCTTGCACAATCCTTTATATTATGTTTTTATTAGTAGTCATGTCATTGCTAGTTAGTGGTAATTTCTTTTTTTGTGCATTTTCTATAGTTTGTAGTGTGTGAACCTCTGTACTGATGCTGCTGTGACAACTGAATTTCCCCTCGGCGGGACAGTAAAGGCTTTTTCTATTCTATTTTATACAGGTATTTCAGCTTTCCACCAGTATCATTGCAACATGTTTACTCAAGTCTTTTTCCAGAAGAGCTTTAGCACTGCCTGACGTAGACTCAGGCATGTCTGGGCATGTTTCGAGTGAGGAAGTCTATAAAGACCTTCTCCTCTTCCCTCTRTCTCCTTTGCAGTCAGAAATTTCGACCGGTCTTCTGTGAGGAGCCGCTCCTTCAGGAGACTGAATCGAGCCTTCAGTGTTCTACGGAGGACCAAGAGTGGCACCGCAGTCAGCAATGAGACATCTGAGGAGAGGGATAATGCCAGAAACTCCAGTGTGCCACGGGAAAGTATGGATTCAAGCTTTTACATTCATCCTTTTGTTACCTAAAGGGTTTTTGGAAAGGGTTCCAGAGAGAGCAAAAAGTGTACGTGTGCAAGCATGCATGCATGTGTGTGTGTTTCCACAAGTTTTTATTTGCAGCGTTCCCTCAGCTCTGCCAGAAAAGTGACATGACTCGGGCCTCGTGCTGCAAAAGCAGCACATGTTTTTTTAATAATTTAGCTGCAGGTTGCATAAGTGTGTTGGTGCATCACTACAGACAGACGAGGAGGGAGCGTTGCAGCCTGCTGTTCTACATTCTACATGATATTGTATAAGATCAGATGATAAATGAATGGGGAGTGGATGATTCTCAGACATCACTAAAGAGGTTGAGTTAAATTAAATATTCATTGCATGCTGCTGGAGCGACAGACAGATAAATGAAATATGGACATAGACAGAAAAGGTCATTTAAAGCAGATAGTGAATAGTGGAGACATCATTTACAGGAAAGTCAATGATTCAAAAAGAATTTTACAGCAAAAGACACTCTGGCCAAAACTAAGCTGCCACCAGGGTTTTTGTGCTATGATGTGAGGTTGCTGCAGGTGGTCAGGTCTTGGTTCAGCAARGTTGGTTACGTATTGTAACCCCAGATTCTATGAGTGTAAGCGCAGCCCTCTAAGGCTATCGCAGATGGGTACCCCCGTGCGCGTACGCGCATTCTGAAGAGCCAATAGTCCACGCCCACGTCACGTGGGCCTCACCTCGGTCTGTATAAAAGGGGAGGACCTGAGTTCAGCTCCCGATAGCTTACTTTTTCTTC